AGAAGAAAAATTCTGATTTCTTGAAAAAATTTGTTGGGGCTTCTGTTCATACCAAACCCCATTTACTTGCAACTGCTGTGGATTATCACCCATGAGAGTAGGACACTCATTAGACTCGTGAGCCTCCTTACAATATTCACAAACCACAAGAGTTGATTGAACCTTGGACACTTGAAGTTTTTCAAACTTCTCATTCAAGCTGTCAAACTTCTTGGACAACAGCTTTTGTTCAACAAGCATAGCATCATTGCTTTCCAGCTTTATCACTCCTCTTTTATGTGAGCTGGTACGCTCTCATTCTCATTCCTTGCCAGTTTCTTTATCAGGTCAATAGCTTGTTCAGATGTACTCTGTCGAATAGAATCTCCAGCTGCACTATTAATAACCAACCTTGTTTCAGGAGATATGCCATTAAAGAAGATCGCCACCTTTGTGTCATCATCTCCCTCATAGTGCGGACACTTTCCGATAAGTTCTTGGAATCTATTCCAGGTTGCACACAGCGATTCTCCTTCAAGCTGGCGAAAGTTGGTGATCTCATTCACCAGCTGGTTGTACTTCTCCATAGAAAAGAACTCGGCAAAGAATTTTGTTGATAAGTCTTCCCATGTCATGATACTATTGGCCGACTGCCTCTCTATCCATCTGAGAGCCCTTCCCTTAACAACAAAAGGGAATAATCGAAGCCTGATAGCATCGGCAGACACTCCATTGTGCTTAGTAGTGTCGCAGATCATCAGAAATCGATCTATGAACTCATGAGGGTCTTCCTCCTCAGCACCAGAAAATTGAGCCCTCTCCACCAAAGAAATCAAGAATGGCTTCAGCACAAAATTGTTTGCCTCCACTGTTGGCCTGAGTATGCTTGAGTTTGGCCTATTGAACGCCGGGGTCAGAATGGTGTCCAACAATCGTGGAGGTGGGTTATTTGCATTGTGGCCTCTGCCACCATCAGCATTGTTGTTTCCTGTCATTTCTTGTTTTGGTTGTACAGGTATGCTCTTGAAGTCTTCCCAAATTATCTGCTTGGCAACCTTCCTCAGTCTCCTCTCAGTCCTTAAAATTTCAGGATCAATTACAAAGTCTGTAAGAGGAGGTCTACCTCGCATAAAACTCAGAAAAATATGTTAGTAGCACCTGCTAACACAAAATACGATAGATCAAAATAAAATAAATAAAATAAAATAAAAATAAAAATCCAATCTCAAAGATCAACGATTATTTGTAATATCGGAATAAGCAATCCCTAGCAACGGCGCCAAAAACTTGATGCTCTCCGGCAAGTATACCGATCGCACAAGTATAATAATGAGTAAGTAAAGTATCGTCTCCACAAGGATTGTAAACCAAGTACTACAATAACCAGTCCCCTTAAGTTGGAAAACTCGGTTTGTTGTTTGAAAAATTGTGAATTGAATTTGAGAAACAATATGAAATAAAAATAAAGACTTTTTTTTATATTTTTATTTAAGAGAAATAAAATAGTAACAATGAGAATTGATTTTAAAAATATGAGAAAACTATTGTAGCTAGAGCGCACTCACCTTATGATCCCCACTTCTTACTTTGGATTAATTCACAATATTTATTCATATAATTACTCGGATAAATTATTATCTAAAAATATTTATTAGTTAACCCTCAATTCCTTGCAAGGTTAACCCTTTAATCCCCAATTGGAACCCCAATTCCTTGCAATGTTCCTCATGGTATTAAGCAATGAACACAATAATTTAAGCATCCGCAATTAAATACACATCTATTCCTAGCATGCATACCAATTGTTGTCCTACCCCCTTTCAAGATCAAAACTCCAATATTCCTAACTAGGGTTCTAACCCTCAAACTATTCCCAACTATCAGATTGATCAGTTCTAATAAAGAAAATAGAAAATACGCACAAGGTAGAGACAAAGATAATTATATAAATGAATAAAACTAAATCAATCCATCGTAACAAGGGTTCACATAGGGCTCGTGACCCTAACTACAATAAAAGAAAACTAGCCAAGCATACTCATGGCTAAAAATAATTCAATATTCAAAAGCATAAAATTACAGAGAAATAGATGAAGAAGAAGAACTGTAGAAGAATCCTTCTGAGCTCTGCCGTCGGCCTCCTTCAAAAGATTAGGTCTGAATCAGATCTGTCTAGGTCTAGCACAAAGATCCTATTTATAAACTTATTTTTTTCCTTCTTCCAAAAATACCCCTGGAACAACACGGTATAATTTCCCGCAAACAGGCGCCAGTTGGCGCCGGTGGGGCGCTACTTCGCGCCGCGCTTCTGTCTCAAAATGAAAAGTCGGACCTGATTGCACGTGACTCGGCGCCAGTTGGCGCCATCCTTCACATTTTGGGCGCCAACTAGCACCACTTCTCTTCTCTTAGTGGGCGCCTAGTGGCGCCATCTCCTTGCAATTTGGGCGCTGGTTTGCTTCACTTTGGTGGCGCCGGTTTGCTTCAGTTGGCGCAAGGTGGCATGGTGGCGCTAGTTTGCGCCATTCTAGCGCCAAATAGCGCCAATTCTCTGGCATTTGTATTGTGATACATCCGTACGTGTGGAGTCGCGTCAACAGGCTTTTTATAATTTGTAATTTTCACTCCTTTTTTTCCTGTAAAAACACAAATAAAGGTGAATATTATTGACATAGAAAGAATCAATATAAATAGCAAATATGTATTTAAATAGCTCTCTTATGACCCAATTCTTATCAATTTTAATACTGAAAAATCACACTTGCCAGAGGCACATCAATAGGCTAGAGAGGGGACCTAGCCAAATACCCTAAAAAAAGTTATTTGGTAGGCCAAAATGTTATCAAAAAAATTAGGTTAAATTTTATCGATCTATATTTGGTTGAAGGTAAAATATTGATGGAAAAATGGGATGAAATTACCAACTTAACCCTTGACTAAATACAAAAAAGACCCTTTCTCTCTCAAGCTTTTTTTTGGCACATTTTTTGAGAATGAATATTTGTGTCCATTGCTTTTTTTTTCCTATTTTTGGTTTGATGGGTTAGAAATGATAAATTTTTTTAATTTTACACACAAACTGAGATTGCTATGCAAATACAAATGATGAATAAAATTTTTAAAACATCCTAGCAAACATGGTCAACTAGGAAACCTATCTCAACTTTCCTAGGCACCAAAAAGAACTTTCCTAGCAAACACCCCCTATATAAAAGCAAAGGTAAACACAAAAAATAGGGGAAAATATTTGTATACATAGAGTTGTGTCATTCTAAGTGAAAGAAAGACACATACTAATATTTTTTATTTAAAATTTAAATTAAAAAAAACTCACTCAATTTTCCCCCATGTATTTTTCATTACTTATAGTTTTCTCTCACTTAAAATGACAAAACTCTATGTCTTCTAAAAGCACAAACATCAAACCATAAAAAATAAATATCTTTTTTTAACTATTAAATTTGTTTTCTTCGATTTATGCTAGGTTGTGTTGACAGATAAGCTCTTCCGTTTGAAGTTATGTTATTTATATTTTATTTGAATAATTCTTGTTTAATTTATAAAAGAATGAAAAATAAAAAATAAGTTGATCGATGTTATTTATATATTATTTCTTGTAATGTTTAATTTATTATTATTTGCCACCTTCAGTTATGTTTGAATTTTGATTTTGATTTGTTTTTTGGTTGCTTTGACAATGTTATGTTGTGTTAAAAAAAAAAGCTATTGTGGTTGAGCATTACGTATCTTTATGATTTTTTCTTAAAAGAAATGAAAAAATATAAAGTAAAAGTCACAATTTTGGTTTCTTCGGGGCAAAATAAATATTTTAAAGCTTATTAAGAATTTATATAATTAATGAAAGGGGAATATTTATGCCAAGCAACAGGACATTAAACTTTTTTCCTACTCAAACAGATTTTTGTGGGTCCTACCATAAAAAAAAAACAAAAAACAAAAAAATTGTTTGCACGCTTTTTGACGAGTCCAGTAGAAAATTTGTTACCCATCCTGTTACTTGAGATATACATTTCCCTTAATGAAAAGTTAAATATTCTCTCCATGTTCTGATATTCCTTATTCGTAATTATCTTCCTAATTCATTCTCATTTTAAAGATCAATTTATCTTAACAAAAGGTTTATTCAATATTTTTTCAAATTAACTAAACCAGGGTAGCGGCTCAGAATTAACCTAACCGACACTTGAGGATGTAACGGCGTAGTCCGGCCAACAAGGAACTGTTAGTCGAATTCAATTTAATTTGTTAGAATAAATGTAAAGTCATTTGTATGTAATATTTAAAACAAGGAATGAGTATATTTATTATCATTTTAAGCTTATTACTCTTACTATTCGATTGGTTGTCGTTGGATTAATATAAAATTAAGGGCAATTATTTTTTTTTAACCATTGATTTTAAATTAATCCAGCGGTAACCAATTAAGTAATAAGTCTAAAATAGAAGTAAATATAACAGTCTAATTAAAACAAAGATTGATTGGAAAAATATTTGTTATTTTAAATAATACAACTTTGTATCATTTTAGATGAAATGACGTCGTTTTGATATATAATCGATGATTTAGCAACGTAATGTCATTTAAAATCACATGCGTTTTTTTCCAAGATTAATTCACCAAATTTAACTTTTGTATGTAACAACAATATGATTTAGGTTCGAATTTAAAAAATAGATTGTTTGCTTATCCTCATCTAAAAACAGGAGAGTTTTTTTCTCACGCTAAACATTTTTGTCCATCCAAAAAAAAAATTACATATAAATTTTTTTATCATAACTTTAAGACATAGTGCATTGTATGCCTTACTTTTGCCTTGCATACCTCTTAGTTTGAAGGAATTTGAAGAAGTAAATGTTCTTATTCCATGCGGAAGAATGACAATGAACACTGACAAACATAACTAAATCTAGGCAAATTGAATTTATGTTGTTATACATGATTATCTAGTGGCAGCAAAAATGCATCTAACTTGAGACCTTGATTGTGAAATTTTCAAGCTTCAGGGGCATTTAGGTCCTCCCCTTTTGGTCTTCCAGTTATTATAGCAGGGGCAAACTTCCTTGTTGCCATAAGTTCCAGGTGGCACACACAAGCATTTTCCACAGCACTTTTGGCAGAAGAACATGCATGGCTTCCTGTGGTGAGTTTTAGAGCATCTGTATGCGCAACGAGGACCGCATTCTGCAATTTCATGCATGCACCAACGTGTACCATTTTAATTTCAATATAAAAACTTGTAAAGTCAAAATGTCAAATATCAAGACTTGCTAAAGGTGTATGATATAAAATTATTAATTAGCCTTTATCTAACCGTTAAATCTTTTAGTTGAAATGATTATTTATGTAAACTTTAATATCATATAAATAACTATGTTCACCAAAAGCTTAAGCTACATATTAGGTGAAGACCCCAATAATAATAATTTTATATCATATTTCTCTAACAAAACTAGACATGAAGGAAATTGTATAACTTGATTATTGAGTGTGGTTAATCAATTTCCTTTTCAAAAACATCTCTCTTATAGCTTTTATGTATGAGTAAAGCTAATAATACCTATGTATAAAAAGAGAGAGCTAATAATACCTTGTGGTTGAAGACTGCCATCAGTGGTGCCATTCTGAAACTAATAAAATAAAAATGAAATAATTAACACAAAAAGAAATAAAATTAGATAAACAGTAATGTACCTAATAATTAGCTTTATGTGAAATTACCCTAATAAAAAACTGAATATATGAAAAGTCATACCATGTGTTGCTGTGCTGGTGCCGGTTCTGGTGTTGGTGTTGGTGCTGGTGCTGGTGCTGGTGCCTCAATGGGAGCCTCAATGAAAGAGACAACAATCTCAGCCTGAAAGCACCAATTAATATTATGGTATAATCATTTGTATGACAAAAAATAATGTATACAATAAAGCCATGCCATTTATATATTGAAAGAAATCATGTAAATAAGTTATTCCTGTGATTCACGTATTTAAAGGAAGAAAATTTACACCAAAAAAATATAAATAAAAGACAAATGAAGGAAGGGAGAAAGAAAAATCTTCCTGTGGGAATTTAGTGGCAACAGAATAAAATCAAATAAGTAATATTTATTTTCTATAGCTAATGCACTCCTTCAACTTCATTAGTACAAAATTATACCTTTATTCATATTGCTTGTCAAAAACAAATTCAATTTATGTTAAGGATATAATAAAAATAATATGTATCTCCTCTAAATGTATCAAGTAGTCTACAATTTGATCCTTACTCCTTTATTTATAAAATAGAAAGTTATATGTACATTATTCACACTTCGAACCCAGAAAAAGTGAGAGAAACTTAAGTTTTTGGGAAAGTCGGTGGTGGATAAATTAGATTATGGTATCAAATCACTTATTAAGTTCAATTTGATGGCAAAGAAAGTCAAATGAAATGAGAGAAATGGCAAACAAAGTAAAACTACCAAAGCATAAGTTATCAGAAAATGTGTATGAGAGAATAAGATAGAAAAAACTACAAGAATTTTGTTGGCTTACATGACTCTCCACAAGAAGAAGCAGCATTGCAAGTGGGCAAAGCATAACGATGCTTAGTTTTCTGGCCATTGCTCACGGTTGCACTTGTTAACAGAAACAGTGAAAAGTTGTGTGAAGTGTGGTTTTCAATAACTAGTGAGTTGAGTGAGTATATGCAGTTGGATAAGACTCTTGTGTCTATTTATACATGAAAGGTTGCGTTATGTTCGCCATCGTTTTCGGATAGAAAAGGTACAACCCTTTTTCATTATGATAATTGCAGATTCTACACAATTGAATATTCCTTGCCTATTGAAATGGCCAATCTGACCTTTCTTTTTTTCATACCATTCTAAATAATTTGTTATGAAAATGAATACTTTTTATTTTATTTTATTTATTTATTTATTTTTGGTTGCTAACAAACAGATATGAAAATTCTGGTAAGCATAGAAAATTCAAAGCCGGACAAATTGGATCTTAAGCAAACTTACTAACAAACCTAACCGATGTGAAAGTTAGACTAGTTTATCCGAGAAGTATGTGCTCTTGGAAAACAAAATCAGAGCTCACAGAGGGACGCAGGGCAAGGTCAATGGGATGAGATTGGAGGGCTAAGATTGAGATCACCGTGTATATATATATATATGAAGGATCTTAGAAATTTTGTGCTGTAACAAATTGATCAAGCCTTACAGAATTGTGTTAAAAAAAAAAAAGTGTGATCAAGTCTGAAAAGTAAAATATAAAAAGTATTTTCCTGGTAAAAAGTCAAAAAATAAAATTGTATTTTGTAAATTGGAACATTAATGTCAGAAGTGGTATATAAAATAGGAGTGGAATCATAATTGAGTGGAATGACTATTCCCAATCTGTAGTTTAGTAGGTTGGGAAATAGTCAAATCATTCCATTATTTCTGCTGGGTATATAGACTTGATTCATGAGGGAAATAGATTTGATTCAATTAGCGTAAATACTTCTTATTATGAGATCGATGAATAATGGAAGTTTTTTTTTTTTTTGGGTAATTTGGTGCCTTAGAGGTAAATATTTTCATTGTAAAAATTTTGGACATAATCCTTTAATTTATAACTCCATAAAATTGTCATGAAAAATAGTAAATATTGTGTTATTTATTTGTGAGCAAAATTTAAAATTTGTATATAGTTTTAAATGAGATATTTAAAGTATTTTCATAATATTTTTGTAATGATATTTAGGTCAATAGTTGTGTACTACTACATTATTATATTTTAAAATGTTTTTTTACATATTTTCATAATTATTAAGTTTTTTTAATTGAGCGTGAATATTTAAATTAATTGCTAGATATGAAGAGTATTTTTCGGTATGTTGAAAATAAATTAGAACTTATGTAAAATAGATTTAACGAAGAATAAAAAATAAATACCATTTTATGAAACATAGAATTACTAATTATACTCTCTAGAAGAAAATTATGATTCCTGGTTGTATGAAACGAAATCACCATTTTATTTTTCTTGCTTGTTTATTTTACTAACAAACATAATAATTCCTACTCCACCGAATGAACCAGAGAATTGATTTACCATTCTGCGACTAATCATAAAACATGGTGTGGACCATAGAAAAATGCAAAATTTTAAACATTAAGAAAAAATGGGGCTTATTCAGGTTTTTTTTGTCTAAGCAGTGAAGTAACTTTTCAAAATTTCTACATATGTGAAAGTTTAAAATAATTTACTTTCTAGAAAAAAGAAAAAAAAAAGCACAGTTGTGAATCACAATTTATTATTATTATTTAATTAGTACAAAGTGTTACGATGTTGTTGTCAAAACAACGATACCATCTCATGAATATTTCTTCATGTTTATTCTTCCTCTAGTGGGATAATTATATACATAAATGAGGACTATAGGTCCATTACAATTAGCTGTCTAGAACAAGTTAGAAAACCTTAATCACTTAATGGAACCTTGGGCTTTGAATAATAATGATTATTCCTCTTATAAACAGATTGTGATTGTGTCGTTTGTGGGCATTGAACTAGTGTGGATTTGGCTTGGATTGATTGCTTGAGAGGTAAGCTTTTTGTGTCCTCGGTTTAGCCATTGTTGGTTCCACCATACCTCAAGGGGGGATGGTTTATATGCATGATGTGTTTTCATGTATTTATATTTGAAATGCTATTGAGCTGTTATGTGCAAGTGCTTTATCATATGCATGTGTTGTTCCACCTAGACGGTAAGCCTGAGTATGCGGTGTCATACAAGCTGGTGATTCTGTGGGTGGAGTGCAAGCGGCGTCTTGCACTAATTGTAGGTTATAAACGTATGTAATTCCTGTATTTTCTCTGGCCAATAGGTTTGTCACACACATGACATGATATTATGCTGCATTACACTGATTTTGGAACTTATATGATATTGCTGCTTTTGAACTTATATTACACATGTAAGCGAGCTTGGGGTGGAGAGATCCTTGAAGACCCCTTGTTTTACTAAGATTTCTGTTTAGAGATCTCACCCTACGTTTGGGGCACATTTTCAGGTTCAAATAAATCGGGGATTGATACCTCGGGCGGCAGGAGACCGGAGCTGAGTTGAGATTTACGCTTTTATGATGATATGCTTAGATGCTGACATGTTCTATATCTATTATCATGTTATTTGATTTGAGACTCTGTTGGGCTTGTTGCCTTATTTGGTGAGCATAGGGGTTGTCCATGCCACATTGATTTGACTATGTTGATTTAGATTCGAGTTGTATAATGTATTAGGATTATGGTCCGGACTGAAAGAAAATGGCCTTGAAGGCCGATGGCATGTGAGGATGAAAACAAAAATTTTCAAAGCGGAATCACACATGCTAATCAAGATACATGCTTTAAGACAGTATGATGTACCTTGTTCGTGATTCAAAACTCCAAGATGATCAGTGTTAGGTTTGAAGGTTCAAACCCTCTAACATTGATCCACACCACCCTACGTCAAGATGCAAGAACCCTTCTTGAAAAGCCACCAAACGAACACCACAAGGAAGGCACTTTAGGTGTCCCAAGAGGAGAAGAAGGAGGCAAGGTGTAACGCCCGGCCGCTTCAAGAATCAATGACTATCCCCACATACTAACACGAGACTTTTCAGTGTGCTTTTTCCTCACTCGCACACTTTCCGGGAAAACTTGGTGTGGTTTTGAGTATGTGGTTTTGAGTAATGTGGGGTTAGTTCACCTCTATTGAGAGGGTGACTGGTGATCCCAGTGTGTCGAGCGACGCTTTTGATGTCTTCGTGAAGTTTCAGGTTTTGACGGTGACTTCCTTGTTTGGGGGTGCACTTCTCGAGACGGAGACTGTGAGAGTCAAGAATGAGCTTTTGAAGAAGATCCAATAGGCACAAGTGCATAGAGAGCGCCTGGAATTTGTGAAGGACCAGGACAGTGTGTCTTGGTATGAAGAAGGACATTGTTGTTTTCGTGTCCAAATGTCTGAATTGTCAGAAGGTGAAAATAGAACACCAGAAGCCGTCTGGTAAGCTTCAACCTCTAGAGATTTCGGGATGGAAATGAGAGAACATTTCCATGGACTTCGTGATGGGTTTGCCTAAGACTCAGACTGGCTTTGACTCTATCTGGGTCATTGTGGACAGACTGACGAAGTCTGCCCACATTCTTCCAGTAAAGGTGAACTTCACTTCTGAGAAGTTGGCCAGACTTCTTGTTCGCAAGATTGTGAGACTTCATGGGGTGCTCGAGACTATCATCAGTGATAGGGACCCGAAGTTCACATCTCAGTTCTGGGAGGCGCTGCAGGGAGCTTTTGGGACTCAGTTGAGATCGAGTACAGCCTATCACCCTCGGACAGATGGAAAGACTGAGCGGACCATCCAGACCTTGGAGGACATGTTGAGGGCTTGCACATTGGAGCAGGGTTCAACATGGGATAGGTACCTGCCATTGGTTGAGTTTTCTTACAACAACAATTTCTATGCTAGCCTGGGCATGGCGCCCTACGAGGCGTTGTATGGTAAGAGGTGTCAGACTCCTACCTGCTGGTCTGAGGTTGGAGACAATGATTTGTTTGGCTTGGACTTTGTCCAAGATACCACCCAACATATTCAGTTGATCAGAGAAAAGCTGAAGCAGGCGCATGATCGTCAGAAGAGTTACTATGATGTTAAGCATCGTCCACTGGAGTTCAGTGAGGGTGAGCACGTGTTTGTGAGACTTTCACCTGTCACCGGTGTTAATCGGGCTCTCGGAGTGAGGAAGCTTAGCCCGATATTTATAGGGCCATACCAGATTCTTGGTAGGGTAGGGCCTGTTGCCTACCGGCTTGCCTTGTCTCCGAACTTGGCCAACATCCACGACGTGTTTCACGTGTCTCAGCTTCGCAAGTATGTAGCGGATCCTTCGCATGTGGTGCAACTGGATGATGTGGAAGTTCAGGAGAACTTGAAAACTCCCGTCGGACCACTCAAGATTCTCGATCGTGGCGAGAAGAAGCTGAGGAGTAAGATCATTCCGATGGTCAAAGTGCAATGGACTGGAAGAACTCCTGAGGAGTGTACTTGGGAGCGAGAGGACGAGCTTCCCCGGCAGTATCCCGACTTCCGAGACAGGTATATTCTGATTTTGGGGACAAAATCCTAAAAAGGTGGGGTGAATGTAAGAATCCACACCGTTAATTAAGGAAATTAATTAATTAATTGTGTGAAATTAGGAAATAATTCCATAATTGACTCTAATAATTATTATGAGGCTTAAATAATTATGGTAAGTGATTAATAATGTTGAAAGTTGTTTTTTTGACGAAAAGTGCAGATACCGGTTCTGCTTCGCGGTATAAGTGCGTACCGGTGAAGTATCCCAAAAAAATATAATAAATGCATGACTATTCCTAGATTAATATTTAGGACTAGAATATCAATTTTGAAGTCTAAATAATGAGAACTGGTGTCAGAAATAATACTGTCAGCGTGAAAAATGTGTACCGAAAAAGTGTTGCGAAAAAATAAAATAAAAATATGAAAATTCCTAGAAAAATATCTAGGTTAAGAATCTAAAATTTTAGAGTTAAACGAAGAGCGAAACTAATTAAACTAATACTG